CTTATAGATTGGTGATTTTACTACCATTTGTCGCTATCATTTCATATTTCCTTATTTTTTCCTTTGATGTTTAGTTTGAAGATCATGCTAAATTATACTAAATTGCCTCTAGCATTTTCCAGTAGGGATTAACAAATTATGTTGGCTTTTACAGGAAATGGCTTTGTTTAAGGAAGTGAAGTGTCTCCAGATCATTCCGTCTTACCTGGTGCAGCCACTGAAGGCAAACTCTTCGGTCCATCTGGCAATGAGTCAGGTGGACCTCCTGGCCCGGCTGCTCAAAGACCTGGGCACCAGGAGCTCCGGCCTCACTGTCGAGAACGTGATGAAGGTGAGTGGCCGCCGTGACTCGCCACTGTGGCCCCAGCACTAAAACGGTGCCTAGAGCACAGTGTCTCTTTGGCTTTTGTTGAGTGAATGAATGAGAGATTTCAGAAAAATAACCATTGTGTCATCTAACAAACGAGGGCCCCTGCACTCTCCCACGGTTTGTAATTCCATCAGTTGGTGCGTGGTGTCTGCAGCTCTTCCTCCACAGTGGGAAACAGGTCATGAGGAACATTTCTTTGTCAGTAAGAGCTAATAACTGCAGGAATAGAGAATATCAAGTACAGGTTGAGTATTCCTTATCCAAAATGCTTGGGGCCAGGAGGGTTTCAGATTTCAGATTTTGGAATCTTTGCATTATACTTAGCAGTTGAACATCCCAAATCCAAATTCAAAATGCTCCAAGGAGCATTTCCTTTGAGTGTCATGTTGGCACTCAGAAAGTTTCGGATTTTGGAACATCGTGGGTTTCAGATTTTCAGATTTGGGATGCTCGGCCCGTAAAGTGTAAGTGTATGTATTTTTTGTGCTTTGGACAACTCTAAGGAAACCATGGAAGTTAGAAGAGAAATTTTCTGCCAATCAAAAATTCCTTATTTCCTGATTTCAGACATGTTGAAAATGTAGCCCTGACTGTGTGGCCACCCTCCTGGCCAGGCATGTAGGTAACACGCTCCATACTGTGATGCTCCTGGTGCCCCGCATCCGCGCTCTGGCCTCATTGCGCTCGTGTGGAGAGAGGCGGAGGCAGCTGTGACGTCTTAAATGTGGCCTTTCTCCTCTGTTGAGTCTATATACCCGTTGACTCCAGATGCCTGAATTTGGACCTGACATAATAAAATGTATAGTCAGAAAGGCTGGGATCATGTTTTCTTAATAGCGGGTTGATTTAGACTCGGAAAGAAAGAAGCCCATGCCGTCCTGGTCCCTGCAGCACGCAGAGCCTCGTCGTCTCCTCTCCTTTGCTGCTGCTTCTTCATCTTCCTGATTTTTACATTTGAGGCGTCCATGCCTGGTTCTTCCTTATGAGGTGTGCACGCGTCCCCTCCCTCCGTAATTCCAGCCAGCTGTACTCCGTGTGTTCATCGAAGGCTCTCAGGTTTATATCCCTGTCCTGTACCACTGCCCCGAGCTTCCGACTCACATCCCATCACCTGCTCAGCCTCCCTCTTGGAGATTAGCAAGCCTCAGGCTTACTCCGTCCAAATCAGACCCGGCTTGCTCCTCCTCGGCCTGTGCCATTTCAGCAAGGGGCAGCGCCATTCTTCCATTGGCTCAGGCCACAAACCTTGGAGTCACCTTCGATTCTTCCCCTGGTATCAAACTCCGTCAGCAAACGCTTTGGGCTCTCCCTAAAAATACATCCAGAACCTGATCAGACCTTCACTGCCGCCACCCAGGTCTGGCCACCATCATCTCTCGCGTGGATTATTGTCACAGACTCCTCAGTGGACTTTCCACTTCTGTCCTTGTCCCTCCTCCGCAGGCTGTTTTTAACACAGCACTGAGAGATCTCCCGTGGACACAGGTTAGATCTTGATACTCTGCTCAGGCCGGCCAGTGTGTCCCTTTGTACTCAGAGAAATGAAGTCTTTTCATTTCTTTTTTGTTTTGTTTTGGGGTTTTTTTTCTCTCTTTTTTTTCCTTTCTTTCTCACTTTAAATCAAAAGCCATGTTTTGGGGGGTTTGTTTTGTTTTGGTTTTTGTTGTTTGTTTTGCTTTGAGACAGGATCTTACTCTATTATCCAGGCTAGAGTGCAGTGGCATCAGCCTAGCTCACAGCAACCTCAAACTCCTGGGCTCAAGTGATCCTCCTGCCTCAGCCTCCTAAGAAGCTGGGACTACAGACACACACCACGACTCCCGGCTAATTTTTCTATTTTTTATAGAGATGGGGTCTCGCTGTGTTGACCAGGCTGGTCTCGAATTCTTGGCCTGAAGTGATCCTCCCACCTTGGCCTCCCAAGGTGATAGTATTACAGGTGTGAGCCACCTTACGGACCCAAAGTCTTTTCATTTCTGATTGCAAACTGCCAGTTCTCTCCTTAGCTCGTCTCTTCCTTTCGTAGAGCCTGTCAAGGCAGCCAGTTGTAGCCCAAACACACCAATACGCTAATTATTTCTGTCTGTTTCTCCTGGCACTACCAGCTTAGTAGGCCCATGCTCTGCCTTCTGAGCTGTATAGTTGGCAAGAGCTGTAGTGACTGTTTGCCCTGCATAACATGGTATCAGCATCTCTCCGGCCCCACATATTTAAATTCTTATGGCAGTACTGCACTTCAGATAGCAGTTTGAGCATTAGTTCCAGGAAGCCATGGTACAGTAACAAACGCCAAACTTCCCGTGGCTACCACACGCGTTTCTTGCTGTCTTGCCGTGGTCTAGTGCAGTTTGCAAGGACAGAGGGTGCTCTAATCCGTGCAGTCATCCAGAAACTCAGTGTTGAAGTGTGACGCCACCAGCCTCCACATATGACCTCCAAGGCTCCTGAATAAAGGAAATGACTAGAGGATTGTGCGTGGGAAGTTGCCGTGGGTTAAGCCTCTGCCACCCACGTTCCCGATGACCGAGATGGCCTGTCCTCACCACCAGGGACCGAAAAGTGCGGGACAGCCGAGCACAAGGAAGAGAAGGAGACTGGTTTATTGAGCACGCCGTTGTGTTCTGGTCCATCTAAGTGCTGGTAGGAATGATCCAAACGGAAAGAAGAAAGGACTGATGAAAGTAGGAGCCGAGTGTGGGGGACTAGTGGGAGCCGAGTCCTCGGGTGGCCCGAGGCGCTGGACTCGGCTCACAGCAGAAGGGCAGCGCCAAGCCGAGAATGGGTGGTGGAGGTTGGAGAGGCGAGAAGGGAGAGGAGAGGCTCACCCTGGAGTCTGAGCGGCTGGCGGGGAAATGCTGCGCAGCACCCAGGCCCCCGGCCAGAAGTCCGGGTGAAACAGCCCGTGTGCCTCTGAGGTCGCAGGCACGTTCCGTTCCACCCGTGATGCAAAGGAAGGAGAAAGGGTCCAGGATTTCGAGGGTGCACATGAATGCCAGAAGGCACTGTCGTGAAGGCCTGTACGTCCACGCTGGACACAGGGCCACGAAGACTGGCGGGTGGCGAGAGATGGTGGAAAGACGGTAGCAGGTGGGGGGTGGACTGAAGGTCCTGTGGGGATGAAGAATTGTCGGGGAAGGAGGACCAAAGAAAGTGACCTGGAAAGGTAGGAGGTGACGATCAGACTTTTCGGAGGTGGTGTGGTGGCTGGAAATGACGAGGTCTGGGCTGGAACCCCCGCGTGCCTGGCTCAGGCTGAGACTGGCAGAAGTGAGGAAGCCCAGGGACTGAGGGCCTGACGCCCACGTTAATGTCACCTGTGACTAGACAAATAAGGGTGTGTTCTCACGACAGAACACCACAGAGCAGTTGAAACGACAGAAATAGATCAAGACAAACGAACGTGCGTGGATCTTTAAAAGGTGACGTGGACACGCGCAGGGTGCTGTTCACGATGTTAAACTGCGCACCCGCATCCGCACTCACACTCAGGGCCACGTGCACTCTGCACTAGATGAAGACACGGGGGCAGCACCACGTTGGCTTGAGGGGAGCGGGCGCCTCCGCAGAGGACGCGGCAACAGTGGCCCCAGAGACGCCCAGGGGGAACCGCGCTGCAGCGCAGTGCTTGTTTCCTAGAAACAATGATCCCAAACAAGAATGGGGTCCATAAAATCGTAACACTGGTTAAGTCTGGCAGTGGATCCATGAGGCTTATTACATCTTACCTTCTGTATGTTTGGAATATTTTGTAGTACTTGATATGAAGTTTATAGAAGGACATAACCTTAGAAATGCTTAATATGTTTAGTGGAAAAAAGCAAAACAAATTGAGTGCAACTAAGCATGCAAGGCCAATTAAGGAAAATTCTCTGTATCTTAATATATGGGATTCTGGGCCTGTTGTTTTCTTTTTTCTTTTCTTTATTTTTCAGATTTATATGATATACATATATTTCTTTTATGCTGAAAGAAATTGATTTTGTTATTTTAAGAAGCAGTAACAACAAGAAACCCTCCCAACTTTATTTTTAGTTTTCAGTGAGTGCCCTGGAGCATAGAGTGTATGAGGTTCGAGAAACAGCGGTTAGAATTATTTTGGACATGTATAAACAGCACCAGACTTTTATTCTAGAATACCTTCCTCCCGATGACAGCAACACACGCAAGAATGTTCTCTACAAAACAATTTTTGAGGGATTTGCTAAAATAGATGGCAGACCTACAGATGCTGAAATTAGGGTAAGTTAACCTTCATGAAACTATGATCTAATGCTGTATTTAAGATGTTACTTGGTACATGAATAAATAACAGATTATTTTAAGGAGCCATTTACACAGGAAGCACGGGCATACTGGCTGAGAATGCTGGTTCCAGAGTTCAGATCCTGGCACTTGCACTTTTTGCCTATGAGACCCGCAGGCTCCAGGCAGTAAATAGTAACGAGACGGCCATGAGGACGTCTGCAGTTCATCTGTCAGTGAACATTTGCCCAACTGATCCGATAAATTTACTTTTAGTCCTAATTGTATTATTAATCTTAGTGAATATTATATAAGAAACATAATTTATAGGCCATAATTTGTCTCCCAATTTGTAAGATTACCCTAAAAAGCTATTCTAATGGGAAAATAATTTTCTCACCAGGCGCAGAAAAAAGCAGCTACAGAAGAAGCAGAAAAACAAAGGAAAGAAGAAATAAAAGCTTTGCAAGAGCAGCTGGCAGCGCTGAAAGAAATTCAGGCTGAAGTCCAGGTTGGAAGTTAACCTTTGACCAGTGTGGTTTTAGTTGAAATGTATCTTCTTATGTAGATCTGTCACATATTGATCTACTTTTCGTGGGATTATGCAAGAAGATAGCTTTATTGTCTTTAAAAATTAGTTTTGGGGTAAATCAAAGGAGTCCTCCGTAGGTAGCTGGAATCAGAAGTTGAGAACTCTGCCTGCTGGTCTCCTGTCCGGACTGGAGTGGGCAGGGGCTGCTGTCGGTGTTCGGGCAGGGGCTGCTGTCGGTGTTCGGGGAGGGGCTCGGGGGCGCAGAACTCCCCCCTCCTCGGCACCCCAGTCCCCTTCAGGGGAAAAGGAGAAAAATAAGCCGGAATGTGAAGGCCTGACTTCAGTGCATTAAAGAAGGCAGGTGGCAGGTTAGTACTCTGCTCCAGGGAGCCCTTACTCATGAGCCTGCGGAGGCCTCGTGCTCGGCGGGGTCAGCGTCGCGTGGTTGGGTGCAGACGTCTGCCGCCTCCACTGCCCTGCTTCTGGGATTTACATTTGTTTCATAACACTAATATTGCGGTGAAGTTCCTTAAGTTCAAAGAAAATTTCTTTTAAAAAAATAAAGAAAAGAAAAGGTGGGGAGACAGGAAGCTGCCGTCCAGTGCCTGAGGCTCCGTCATGGGTGGCGGCACGCAGGAAGCTGGCAGGGCAGATCTCACGTAAGTGTTCTTGCCACGACTGTTTGAAAAAGAAATGGATGAGAATGGGAAAAAAAGAAAATAAGCCTGAATATACGTTGAACTAACTTCCTGTGGCAAAGTGCCAGAACGTCAGAACAGGAAAAGGAGAGAAGAGGCGAGAAGGAGGCTGGGGGCCGGCGACCCGGCGCATCCCTGGCTCAGGAGGTAGATTCACAGCGACCTCGGAAGCGGGTCAGGTCAGGCATGTGCTGATTGTTACTGCTAATGATACACACACGAGGAAACAGCCACGGCAAGCTAAAGAGACCGCCTCACGCGTGCTGCGCCCGTTGCCAAGTGCCCGCTGCCCTCACCCCACCCCGGACCCCACAGCTATGGCTCCTGGTGTAGTGCCACCTCAGAAGCTGTTGTTCCCAGGACTGACGTGTCCTGGGTCACCTGTGCTGACGGACTGCACGGTCGGCACACAGCTCTCCTCTGGCGCCTTCGCAGTCCCTGCTCCGTGCCCGGCACTGTCCAGGCTCCGGAAGTGCAGCAGGCAGCAAAGCAGAGGCCCGTCCTCCAGGCCTGGCGCTCTAGGGAGGAGCAGGCAGGGGAGAGACACAGGCCTGGCACATTCAGGGAACAACAGGGAAGCCGCGCAGCTGGGGCATGAGGAGCAGCTTGGACATGGGAGATGAGCTGCAAAAAGAGTAGCTTAGAAATCCATCAAGGGTTTTGGACAGAAGTCAGTCACCTTACCACGGTGTCAAAGGGTCCGTCTGGCCCCTGAATGAGGAGCAGCAGGGAGATCCCTTCCAAAGCCGTGCCCATAGTCCTGGCAAGAGACGACCGTGCTAGCAGTGGAGATGGTGAGAAGCGGTTGGATTCTGCCTGAGTTTTGCAAGTAGAGCCTACGGGACTTGCTGATGGGTCTGAGAGGCTAGAAAGAGGAGTCGGAGCCCTGCAGCTTCCTGGCCTGAATGGCTGCGGACGAGACTCCGTGATCTGAGACGAGAAGATGCTGAACAGCAGCAGGCTTGGCAGGGAGAGCAGCAGGTTTGCTTTAGACACGTGGAGTTTATGCAGAGAGGAGCACAGGCACTGGACAAGAGGCCACTAGAGTAGCACAGACGGAAGAGAGGAGAGATCGGCGTGCAGAGTCCGGGGGAGGCAGCCGCAGCGTGTCTGAGGGAGAGGCCGATGAAGGTGGAGGAAACCAGGTGTCCTGGGGGCCAGACTGAGAAGGGGGGACCAACCGCCTCACGAGCCACCGTGAGGCCACGTGAGGACAAGTGGCGACGTGGAGGAGATTGGTGGCCTCAACTGGAGCTGTTTCCATGGGCGGTGGGGCTGAGGGCCCGAGGGGAGGGGCTCACAAACAAAGATGGGGGAGGGAGCGTCCAGACCTCTTTCCAAAAGCTTTGTTATTGATAGAAATTCTAAAACAAAAGCTAGGAACGTGTTTTCAGGATCAAAACATACCCTGGCTAGACTCTTGCCCACTCTGCAGCCCTTTGTCCCTGACCCTTCTGTCTTTGTGTCTCAGGAAAAAGAAAGCGACGCTGTGAAGCCAAAGAATCAGGGTAGGTACCTGCCCTCCGGGACTCCCTGTCGAATACCTGCCGCGCGCCAGACGTCGTAGAGCCCGATGTAAAATGATGCCACCTTTTTAACGTCTGTGATGTTTTCAGAGCATGGTCCACAGCAAACTGGTTACTGAAATTTCCAAAGTTAATTTCTACGAAAAGTTATTTAAATTGTTTCCTTTTAATCTCTTTAGACGCTCAAGGACGGAGAGCGGCCCCGCCCGAAGCTCTGGAGGTCCCAGACAACCACTACTTGGATAAGTGAGTGAGCAACCCAGGCTTCCCACGCAGGAACCTGGTCGTTGTGATTGTGTAAATTGACTGGCTTGTTCCAGCAATTTAAAGGCTAGGAAAATTGCCTTCTGAACTAATCAGCATGAACTCTGAGTAAGTCTAGATAACTTCCCCTGTCTTTACCCCAACAGAAGTTTCCAGCCTGTTTGTCAAAATTGATGTTACAGGCACAAATGTCATAGCAGGAGAACACTTTTTGCTGTACAGGAGCCAAAACAAATCTATAAGGAATTTAAGGGCAACATCTTTGCCTTGTGACTTAAAATACCGCTTCTGCTTGATCACGCTAAGTTAGAATCTGAAGGGACCTTCAGCTAATTTATTTCCAACACCTGCTTGGGGAAGACTTCTGGGGGAGCTTTAACAGGTGGCCCCTCCAGCCTCTGCCGCTGTCCCCCGAGGAAGGCCCGGCGGCCCGCGCAGAGGGGGCAGTGCAGGCGGCAGGCAGCGCGGAAGCTGCTGGGATTAGGGAAAGTTGCTGGTGAGGTCGGGTAGAGCAGCCGTCCTGCGCTCGAGCTTCGCGTCATTGCCCACTTTTCTGCTTCCTTTCAGTTTGTGTATTTTCTGTGGGGAAAGGAGCGAATCCTTCACAGAGGAAGGCCTGGACCTGCACTACTGGAAGCACTGTCTCATGCTGGCCAGATGTGACCACTGCAAACAGGTCAGGCCACAGGCACGGGGCCTCAGCCCCGCGGGAGCTCGAACACCCAGCTTCTGAAAGGCCGAATCACAAAGATACCCCAAGTCTTAGTATTTTCAGAGGAAAAGTTGTGAGAAAAGTCACTGGAGCGTACACAACACACACCTATGTCATCAAGTGTGACAGCTCAGGAGATCTCACACAGGAAGTGCCGTCACGCCCGCCCCGGCTCCTCCCCACTGTCCTCGGCGCCTGAGCGCTGACACCGCAAAGTAGTGCTGCTTGCTCTCCGGCCTCATAGAAACGGAGCCTTACAGTGCGCGATCGTTTCGTGTCGTGTCCGTTGTCTGACCAGACCACAGTTTATTCATCCACGCTCTGTTCGTGGGCTCTGGTTTGTCCAGTTTGGGACTGTCACGAAGAACGTTCGTGACGTATTACGCAGACGTTCTGGTCTGCGTCTCCTGAGCGCACGTGGGTGACTCTCCTGGTTTGTGCCTGGTTGTGGGTTGCTGGTACACTGATGCCAGCTACAGCGCTGACACCACGTGGTGCTCCAGAGGGTGGTGCCAGCTCAGCCCCACCGACAGCCGTGAGAGCGGCTCGGTGGCCGCAGCACGACGGTGGCAGTGCTTTGTGCTGCTTGACAGCTTCCGGTTTGCGTTTCCCGCGACAGCAAGGTGGAGCACCCGTCCGTTGTCTGTGGGCCACTGGCCGTCCTCTTCCGTAAAACACCTTCTAGTCTCCTGCCCGTTGGAACTGGGTCGTCCATCTTTTTTGTTGTTGATCCCTACTCCTCCTTTGTACACCTGGCCGTGAGCCCTTTGTCAGCTATGTGTGCTGTGACCATCCTCTCCCATTCTGCGTCTTGCATTTTCATCGTCTTAATGTGTCTTTTGACGAACAGAGGTTTTAAGCTTGGTGTTGTCCACCTGACCAATCTTTTTTATGGTTCATGCTTTTTGTGTCCTGTTTAAGAAATCTTTCCCTACCCTAAATGTTTAATCTCTTCTGTGATGCAATGGGCCTTCTGTTTCAGTCCGTTTGTGTTGCTGTAAAGGAATAGCTGAGGCTGGGTAACTGATAAGGAAAAAACGTTTATTGGGCTCGTGATTCTGATGGCTGGAAAGTTCAAGCTTGGGCATCTGCAGCGGTGGAAGGCGAGGGGAGCCAGGGTGTGCGGAGATCACGTGGCCAGAGAGGAAGCAGGAGAGGGTGGTGCCAGGCGCATTTTGACAGCCAGCTGTTGAGGGAGCTGTTACGGCAGAGAGTTCGCCCCTGGGGGAGGGCGTTAATCTATTCATGAGTGATCTGCCCTGTGTGAGGAAATCGAAAACACTCAAAGAAATTTTTCTATTCTCTCGCTCCACAACAATCAACACGGAAAATTTCTGTGACCAAACGTGTGGGGTTTCTCCCCACACACCGAGCAAGCAACTGTTTCTGTAGCGGGCGCCAGCTGCGTGACCTCCAGTTCATTCTGACACTGCCTCTCTGGAGACAGTGTGAGATCCCACAGGGTGGGGGCTCAGTCCCCAAACTGCCACCCTCCCCAGCCCCACCCAGACACCAGCCACAAGTTCAGGCCTTCAGAACTTCTGACCTAACTGGCTTCAAGCTGGGGTTCCCACAACTCCCTCTTTGGGTTTGATTAATCAGCTGGAGCTGCTCACAGAACTCAGGAAAACACGTTCACCAATATAGTGCAAAGAGCATCTTGAAGGATGCAAGTAAACAGCCAGACGAAGAGATTCATAGGGCAAGGTCCTGAAGGGCCCCGAGCGCAGGAGCTCTGTCCCTGTGGGGTTGGGGGGCACCACCCTCCCCGCACGTGGATAAGTTCTTGTTCACCTTCCTGTCAGCCTCCACGTGCTCAGCTCTCCAGAACCTACCCAAACCCCTGCCTCTTGGGCCTGTTGTGGAGACTTCCTTGGATAGGCACGATTGACACCGTGTAGACGTGTGACAGGACGAAAGGGTGTGATCTGGTGCTGATAGACCGAGTGGGGAAACCAGCGAGGCCCATCTGCTCAGAGTCTTCCTGGCCTCTCCGAGCAGCATCCTTCCTCCTGGGTGTGGGCAGGACCCTCACTGGAATGAGGGTCTTACGACCCACAGTGAGATTAGGGTCCTGCCCTGGGCAGGGGAAAGGAGGGCAGGAGAAGGTCAGAGATTCTGCTTCTCAGGCCTGCAGCGCCCCAACGTCGTAACGAGAGCAATGAGAGCCGTGGAGGGAAACCTGTGTGTGTCGGTCATAGTGTCACACCCCCACGGCCCAGACGCCGCCAGCACCGCCACACTGGGGGTTGATTTCAACATGCGATGTGGTGGGCACAAACAACCGTATCCAAACCAGTGCACCCTATTTTAATAAAGAAGGAAAACTGAAAGGAGAATGATCTTCTTTCATTTACCTTGGGACTCTCAAGTTTACAGGGAAGAGTTTGGATGGTCAGATCCCACCCTCTGAGCAGCGACTCCTCACATGAGCAGTGCGCACTCTTAAAACCCCCGTGTGGACGCCTGGCATCTCCAGCACCGTGTGGAGGCCCGTGGCATGGCGCTGTGGGGCGTTTATAAGTCATCTTGTCGGAGTGGCGAGGCGACCTCTTAGCCCTCTTCCTGCACATTCCTAGAAAGAGTGAGAAGCCGGGATTTGAACCCAGGGCCACACATTTAACCACTGAGCTACTCTGCCCCCAGTACAAGTATCACACTCAAGTCTGCCGTCACTTCCCCCATCTCACCCCTCGGGGTGACCTTTACATGATGCTAGGGTGACAGGAAAGGACGGACGCAGGGTCTCCAGGGAAGTGTAATGAATGACTCCAGACGCTCTGGACAAGGGCCAAAGACAAAAAACCGCGCTCCCCTTCACGCGTGAGCGACACAGAAAACCTGTGCTGGATTTGCACGGGCAAAGGGAACACGTGTCAGTGGCCGTGGCAGGACACGTCAGCATTCTCAGCAACGTGCTTTTTTCTGCGTTTCAAAATCCAGGTGGTCGAGATTTCCAGCCTAACGGAGCACCTGCTGACAGAATGTGACAAAAAAGACAGGTTTGGGAAGTGCTATCGCTGCAGCGAGGCTGTTCTGAAGGAAGAGCTGCCCAGACACATAAAAATCAAGGACTGCAACCGTGAGTGCCTCTGCTTAGCCCCCGCGTCCTTCGGTCACCAGACATCCTCCCTGGAAAAAGCATAGCTGCCGACGGGGCGTCGGCAAGGGCTGGGTGCGGTGACAGAGCGTCCGACGGGCAGGCAGGGGATGTGTCCCGTTGTCCCCTTGTGCAAGTTTCCTGAGTAACAAAATCTTTCTGAAATCATTTCAGCAGCCAAGTCAGAGAAGCTGGCAAACCGATGTCCTCTGTGCCATGAGAATTTCACACCTGGAGAAGAGGTGAGTGCCTAACGCAGGAAAGGGAGCAACGGGAAAGAAATTTAACACACCTGATGACAACGACGATGACGTTAGTGCTGGACCAGAGCCAAAGTAAAACACATTGCGTATTCTGGGAACAGTCATTCCGTTTACCTACGTGTTCACGTGATTTCTTTCCATAACATCGGTAAGCGGTTTATTCAAGGAGTCTCAGCTCCTTGTGATATGAGCTTGAAGTGGTTTTATTTGGTTCTGGTCATGGCTTTCATCTAGATGTTGAGGCCCTAAATGGCATCTTGGCCAGATTCTGTGAAACTCTGGTCCCTTTTGATGAATAACTGAGCCCAGTTTGGTTTAACAGTTGTACTTCCTATCCAGGCTCTCCTCCCTGTCCCAGAGCAAGCTGAGCATGTGACCCAGCAGGCTTGGTGGGGAGGGGGCAGGCTCCTCCATGCCCACCCTGTCCTTCCCCACACGTTCTGCTTCTCTGGTGCTGGAGGCGTCAAGGACAGGCCGGGGGACCCAAGGCTCCGCATCTGTGGTGGGTGTCTGCTCTGTCTAACACGACAGGCTGGTGATGGCCTCTTGGCGCCAGGCAGGGGGTGAGCCCAGGGGCCCTGCTCAGGGCCCGGTTTTGGAGACGGCATCTGGCTAAGCAGCTCTCACTCCACCCTCCATAGCTCCTGCCACCTGCAGCCCACCCACTGCGTCCTGCTGCTGGGCTCTCCTTGCCCCGCCTTCTGGGATAGGGTACCAGCAAGGTGGCTCAAAGCAGCCATCCCTGCAGCTTTCTCTTGACCACAGAAACTCACATGCCAAACAGAAAACAGTCTGGCCCAGCCGCTGTCTGAGCCCTGTGTCTCTGCTCCGTTGTGCAGTTCTCTCCCTCCCTGGAAACTTTCAGATGCATCACAGAGTACACAGAAGAGTAAAAGAAACCCTCGGTGCCCTTCGCGTACCAGTCGCCCGGCTTGAGTCACTGTCGACTCAGCCAGGCTGGTTTCTTCTATACCCGCCCCCCACGTGCTCCCTCTCGTGCTGTGCCAAAGCAGACCCAGACAGCACGCTGCTCCTCCGTGGATGCTCCAGTACAGAGCTTGCAAAATAGGGACCTTTCTGCACGGCCGCAGCAGCGTCAGCTCAGCCTTCCCGGCCTTGTTCTCTCGCACTGTCAGTTGTCTCGTGTGTCAGAGCATTTGTTTACCAGGACCCGGGGAAGGCTCACACACTGGGATTGGTTGACATGTTTTTAAATAGGTTCCTTCTCCTACACTTTTTCCTTGCGCTTTATCTGATGAGGAAAAGAGGCCATTTGTCCTACAGGGTTTTCCATCGTCTGGATTTGCTGACCGTCCCTCCACGGAGGTGCTTAAATGTTCCTCCGTCCCCTATATTTCCTGTGAAGTGGGGGTGGGGTTTGTAGGCCTCATCAGATGCGGACACGTTTGACTCTTCTCTTTTGGTGGCTCCCTCATGGCAGTGGCAGGCTCCTCCCTCGGGGCACGCAGTGTGCGCGATGACAGCCACCACCGGTGTGCAGGCCGAGACCCAGCGGCTCGTGCGGGACCACAGCCCCATGATCTCACTGCGTCACTCCTCCCGCCCTCGTTTGCTTCGTTCATTTCTTTAAGCAGAAGCTCATCTGCTCTTTGGTTACCCTGGCCTAGAATTTGCATTGGAAAGGCAGGATGACGGTTTAATTCTTTTCCTTCGTTTAACCGGTTTCCAAAATAGTAAGTTGGTTCATTAGTATCTTCCAGTGGTAGCTAGTTTGTTTTTGTTTTGGGTTTAAACTATTTGAAGTGTTCCAATCACTGCAGTTACTGTCCTTAGTGGTGTGTGAACTGTGCCCTCTCTGTGCCCTCCGATGACAGCCCCTTCAGCTGGCTCCTGAGGCTTCTGATGTGACCCTCGTGGCCTCAGACAGCGTCCTGTTTGGTACCGTGCCGCCCCAGCCCGGAGTCAGCCACCTCGTCAGGGGGGCCCGGTTCCCTTTGGCAGGAACTGATGTTTCAAGACAGCACTGGGGGTCTCGCGCGCTCATTGCCATGGGGTGGGTCGCGTCGCTGGGCGTCTCGGTGGACAGAGCCGGGAAGAACACTGTGCAGTCAGCTCGTGTATTCGAGCTCGTCCCTCTTACACCTGTGTCTCCTTCCTCGCACCCCAAGAGCCCGGTCCCCACAGGCCCCGCAGACACAGAAGTAGCATGTCGCAGACAGTCCGTTAGCCGTGCCCCGCTCTGCACGTAGCACAGCCTGGAACAGCAGCACCCACCATGGCGACGAGGTGGCTGCTGAAATGTGGTTTGTCCCACTTGGTCTCTGACCGCGGGTTCCACCGGCGACGCAGAGTCCAGTGGCTCTGCCTTGACATCCTTTGGAGGAGCTCCGGTGGGCTGCGGCACCCACTGTGGCAGGTTCATTTGTTTCATTTTATATTCAATTTTGAGGAGACTTTCAAAAATTAATTTCTGTAATTATATAAGATACATGGCTCCAAGTCTATAATCAGGCACCTCCAAAGAAGCCCGGATCGAAGCTGCCCTACTTACCTCTCCAGCCTCCTCGCAGAGGAAGACTATTTTTTATGATACATCATTCCCCTTTCTTTCCAAACATAAGCAGCTGTCACGTGCACACACTCTCTCTTCCTCAGTTTATCCTTAGAGTTGAGGAGCCCTCGTGTGCTCATTCTAATTGTTACCCGTGCTGATACTTGCGCGGGACACCAGAGTCCCCTCTCTGTTGGTTATCGTCTGTTGGTTTCCTCCTAGGAGCGATACTGAGATTAGCTAGGCGCCGCCCTTCCTTCCTCCCTGCTGTCCCAGCGTCTGATGTGAGCCGATGTCCTCTTCCACTTACTCTCCTCATCATCGCTTTCCCCACGTCTTAGCTATCCATGCTGAGTAACACGTCCCCACACACCCAGCGGCACACGCGGATAATAGCACAGCTGCCTTGAGTCGGGAACCTGGGCACGGCCCGCAGGGACTCTGCTCTGGGTCTCCCGAGGCCGCAGTCCAGGTATCAGCTGGGCTGGTCTCACCTGTGGGATCCCTTCAGGCTCCTTCCAGCAGCTGGCATTTCCTGTGGTCATAGGACTGAGGTCCCCGAGCTCTTGCTGGCCGTCAGCTGGGGGCCACACTCAGTGCCCAGAGGCACCACAGTCCCCTGCCCCGTGGACTCCTCCACGCAGCTCAGGTGTTCAGGCCAGCAGGAGGCCCTGTCGCTGCGAATCTTTCTGATCTGGCGTCGAGTAGCCAAGGGTGACTTTCCTGTCACCTGTGCCTTACTCTGCTGGATGGAAGCGAGTCACAGGGCAGGGCCCTCAGACAGGCATGACTCATGCGGTCCCTGAGGGGGACCCCATCCTCCCTCCTCCCTCCCTGTCCCTACCTTTTGGTGGTTTCTTTCTTTCTTTTTTTTTTTCTTAGGCAAGCATGAACATGAGGTTTACTGAGGAGAGAAAGATAGGACTGTAGGGCAAGAGCAAGATACAAGTTTACAGAGCATGGTGCACGCGCCGCAGGTGACGACCAGACCCATCGTCACGGCAGGGCAAGCAAAAGGAAGGGCAAAGAGAGAGACGGTGGTTTCTGATCTACTTTATCAGAGCACTTTGCTTGAAAGTGGATGTTTTTCACCATATCTGGAAATCGTTCTGCCATTAGTTCTTCAAACGTTTTTCCCTCCTCGCCTGCCGGGGCTCCACTCACAGGCGGGATGTTAGACCGCCAGCTGTTGTCCTTGGGGTCACTGAGTTGTGTCCACTGTCATCTCTTTTCTTCTGTTCTACTTGGATGGTCCGTTCACCCTTTCTCCCTCCGTCTCCAATCCTCTGTTCAGTGAATTTCCATCTCCGATGTTGTACGTTTCAGTCCTAGAATTTGCATTTGGCTGGTTACTTTTTTACAGGTTCAGTTTCTCTGCCAGGATTCACCATCTCTTCACTCATTAAGATCATCTTTTCCAAACAGCTTTATGGAGATACAGTTCATATACCATATAGTTCACCCATTTTTAAAGGATAGAAATCAACAGTTTTTAGTATATTCATAGAGTTGTGCAGCCATCAGCACAACTGTGGAATGTTTTCATCACCCCAAAAGAAACGCTGCCCTGCCTGTCTCCCCATTTCTCCCCAGCCCCTGGGAACCACCAGTCTAGTTTTTGTCTCTGTGGATTTGCCCGTTCATGACTTTTCACGTAAATAGAATTATTCAGCGTGTGCCCTTTTGTGTCCGGCCGGTTGCACCCACCTGGTGGTGTCAAGGTTTGTCCACGTCCGCATATAGGTGAAGCCTGTTTCCTAGCCTGGGCAGCGTTCACGCAGGCCTGCGGCTTTTTATGCTTGAACTGCACCTGTGTGATACGTTTGCGCTCTCTTGCGTGAGAACATCTCACCTGCTGTGCTTAAAGACACTAGCACTGAGGTACCTGTTCCCCGGATTGCAAGAGCCAGGTGCTCCCCGAGGCGGATGCTGCGCAGAGCGGTTAAGGCACAACCTGAGGGCTGCACGTGGCGAGAGCCATCCCCAGGGGCTCTTGCCGGTGTAGCTGCCTCTCGTTTTGTCTTGCACAGCGAGTTGTCCGGGGTCTGGAAACATGCCAGGTCCCCGTCAGTGGCCCGATGAACACTCCTTGGCCTCCTCTTTCGTTGCAGGCGTGGAAAGCTCACCTGATGGGCGCTGCTGGCTGCACGATGAACCTGCGCAAGACACACGTTCTGCAGAAGGCCCAGGCGCTGCAGCCAGGTAAGGTGCTCCAGCCTGACCACGCAGAAGAGCATCCAGTTCTTCCCGCGTGCGCCAGATTGCGCTGCTTGTTCCAAATGTCTCACAGGTGACTTCAGTTCAGTAGTAACGAAAGAGACTTGCTGGGCTCTCGGGACACACACTGGTCCTCACACTCTTTCTGCCTTACTGACTCCAGAGTATTTTTTTTTTTTTTAATAGATGGGTCTCACTGTCGCCCAGGCTAGAGTGCAGTGGCGCAATCGCAGCTCACTGTAACCTTGACTTCCTGGGCTAAAGCATCCTCCTGCCTCAGCCTCCCAAGTAGCTGGGACTACAGGTGTGCACCACCACACCTGGCTAATTTTTCTTATTTTTGGTGGAGACAGAGTCTCCATATGTTGTCACCCAGGCTGGTCTCAAACTCCTGGCCTCGAGCGATCCTCCTGCCCCGGCTTCCCAAAATGCTGAAATTACAGGTGTGAGCCAATAAGCCCGGCCTCCAAAGTTTTTAGAAACAGCAAGTTAAATAGTAGATCCATAGAGAATGCCACCACCTAAACCATAAATCATAATTTTAACTGTTTTATGTCAGATTTAGGATGCCTTGCAGGAAAACATGCTATCTTTCATTAGAAAATTATTCCTGAACAAAGACCTTTGGGGACCGAACTGTATTTTAGGAGTGATCCCTACACAATAAAACAGGAGTGGCAGCATGTGTCGGTGCCCAACCTGTGCCAGGCTCTGTGCTGAGGGCCGCACCCGGTGCCCGCGTGTCCCCATCCCAACCTCTTCCATAAGTGAGAGCTCACGAGGCGGCCTGCCCGCAGTCACCCTGCCAGGAGGTTAATCCCTGGTCACGTGGCTGTTCATTTGCTGTTTCTGGAGCTGATCGCCAGGTGCACCGCTCTGCTCTGCCTGCCTGTGCTCCTGCGCCAGGTGTTCCTCCCTCTGCCGGTGCCCCACGTGCGCATCTCCATCTGTGGCCAGCACAGCTGCTCACGCTCGCCGCCGTCAGCCGGGCCCCTGGGGACTCAGTGACCACTGTCCACTGTGCTGACCCACCAGGCTCAGCCCTGGTTTCTGGAGATGGGTGACAGCCACTGTCACGGCCCCTTGGGCCCACAGGTCTGTGTCTATCCCAGTGCAAAGCCTCCTCCTAATGCAGCCCCCGTGCTTCCGCTGCAGGGAAAGGCCCAGCCGTGGCCAAATCAGGCACCTCAGGATGGAAGGTGGGAAGCAAGATCCCGACCCCAAGGGGAGGCCTGAGTAAAAGCTCTGGCAGGACGTACACAAAGCGATGACACGACAGCCATTCCGTCTCTCTCCAGGGGACTGGGCGAGTCTCCGGATCCTGAACCATTTCTCCTAACCACTCTCTTCGGCCGTGGCGACCCATACCCTGGCTACACTGCCCCCGGCCCCCAGCCACGCGCAACCTCGTGCGTGTCACGTCCTGCCAGCTCTCATGCAGAGGACGTGTGTGAAACTGACCAAAGAGCCTGTGCCCCGGAGCCAGGACCTGCCCACACTGTGTGCCGAGCTTTCAGGTTGACCATCTCAGGCCTCCATCAGAAACAGAAGAGTAACCGCTGTTTGGAGAGAGCCAGACGTCACTGCGCGGGAGGCGCCACAGCGGCCCCCAGGCGGGCCAGCACACGCGCGGCATCCGCTCTCCTTGCTTGCTCGGAGCAATTTCCATAAAAAATTTACCATAAACCTTTTGCATATTGGTCTCTGTCCCACGTGGTAGACTTTCTGCAGGGCTGTGGCTCAGCTGGGCAGTGTCCCAGGAGAGTGACGGCGTGCACAGGCGTCTAACCGTGCCACCTTCTCCCTGCGGGCCCTGCCTGCCAGGCTTTCAGCCGCATACACTAGTCACGGGGGCGGGGTTCCAGTATCTGTAGAACTCACGTCTCCACGGTCACGAGAAGTAAAGGTACAAAAGAAAATCTAAAAAAGTAGTAACTGAGAATTGGTCCCACTTGCTCGATGCTTCTTAAATAGCACTGTCTCTGCCACAGACGCTGCCCCCACCTGACCCCAGCTCTGCGGTCCCCACCTAGAACTGAGGTTGACACCGATGTAGGCCCGTGTCATGCCTTTGCTCAGAGGTGCTTCAGATTCTCCACACTTTTGAATTCCTGAAGGAAAACACTGTTAAGTGACCCGATTGCCCTGTGCTCGCCTGACTGACGGCGTGTGTGGTCAGCTCCCTTCCTTACAGCCCCATTTAGATTCTGCGCTGGAATGACGTCCGCTTCTGTCTGACAAGCGGAGTCTTCAGCACAAATCCACAGGCTCAAAATCTTTCTGGCCTGGGTCTGTCGTCTGGTCCCTTTCAAATCCATAGTATAATCGGAACTGTAAGTTGACTTTTTTCAAACAGTCCATAGTATGTTTAAAATATCAAAACTTTGCTTAAAATGGTGAAACCAAACCTCAAGAAACAGTCCCCTAAGCAGGTCCTAACCTACCGTCCCGTCCTGTGGTCCTGTGGAAGTGAGTTTCCTCCCACTAACTTTTGTCGGACACGCGTCATCCAGGCTGCTAGAGGGAGAGTCAGGGTCTGTCCGAAACCTGCCTGGAAACACCGTCTTTGTCCGTCACCGTCTGCTCCCCGGGTGCGGCCTACTGCAGACTAAGGGACAGTCGCTTCTCTGCTGGCCCCACCCAGCGACCAGGGCTTGTGCCTTCTTCGTGAGTGTCAGGTGGGCAGACTTTCACAATGCCAGTCAGAAATGTTTGGGGTTGATGAGATTTGTGTTATGCAATTAGTATATAAATATTTTTTAATTCGCAACCATGTGAAACAAATGTAAACACTAACAGCTATTTGAGCAGCATACTCCCTGGATATGTTCGTAACCATGATTTGCATTAATCCATCTTCTGTAAACCAACACCTTCTGGTATGGTCGACTGAAAATACCAAGTGAGAATAAGACCAACCAGGAAAAAAACCTTTAAAAATACACTTTACTAGGCCGGGCGCGGTGGCTCACGCCTGTAATCCTAGCACTCTGGGAGGCCGAGGCGGGCGGATCATTTGAGCTCAGGAGTTCAAAACCAGCCTGAGCAAGATCGAGACCCCGTCTCTACTAAAAATAGAAAGAAATTAATCGGACAAC